GTCCAGCATGTCTCCTGCCTCATAGGCCAGCAAAAACTCATTGTATCGTTGCAATAGACGACGTCTGCGTTCTTCTGCCCGATCAAGGAGGGAGCGATACCTGAGTGGAGAAATGAAAAGAATGGGAAAGATGGAAAAAAAAGTGAAGAAAACACAGAAGAGTAGAAGTAGGGTGAGAGAGGGAGAGAATGAAAGGGACAAAAAGGAGGTAAAGGAAAAATCAATTGAAGAATGGTAAAGGAGAGGAGGAAATAAAGATAGAATGAAAATAGCATTGCAAACAGAGACATACACACAGCGTTCCACCTAAAAATAATAAAAATATTAATGTTCCAGTAGTGAGACTGGCAACATCCCTTCCCCATTATATGTAAGTGAAAGTTCCACAGGGCTGTGGACAACTGGATATGAAACAGCCTGGTATAGTAAACAAAATTTATATGAAGGTCAAAAGACCTTTCAATAACCTTGAAAGAATGCCAGGTGGGGAGTCAGAAGATGTGGCTTAATTAAGTGTCTGACCTCAGGCAATTGATTTAATGGTTCTGGGCTTCCCTTTCCTCATATCAAAACTGAAGTATCTGAAGGACACTAAGTTTACTTTTAGCTCTTAAAATCTGCAAACTTGCAGGACATCTCTAGTCTAACAGATGCAGAGTCATGAGAAGTGTCTTTGGCCAGTAGGAAATGTTTGGCCAAAGACTGTCCAGTTCTCCAGCCTCCAGAACTTACTGTTTCTCAATCTGTTCCTGGCGCTGGGTGATGCTGCCTGGTTCTTCTCGCTGCCGCTGAGGGAGCATAGGAAACTCATCATGGGCCAGCTTCCTGACATAGACAGCTGGCACAAAGCCCTGGTGATCATCAGCTTCCACCTTCCACCAGTCCTGAAGGGAGAGCAGATCCCCACTCCTTCCTTAGTTCTTGGAAAAGCTACAAATAGGAGAGGCTTCAACTCTCATAACTAAGTCTTTAGGCATGGACATGGGCTAATGGCCAAGAGAAGCAAACCTTTGCTTATGGGTGGCAAATAATTTTCATACATTACAAATAAGGTAAATAAGGAGTTTCAGGAATTGCAGAGATGAGCCTTTGAAATCGAGGAATCTGACATTTGATGTTAGCCTCTTAATTTTGATGAGGTTTTCAAAAACTAGTGACAGTTCTTTTAATGATGGGGCACTCTGTCTACTAGGAATTTACAAAAAACCCACAGAGCCAGAATTGAACTGGGCTTCTTGTGGGTGGAGCAGCTGTATATGACAGTATTGTGCAAGAACTTCTCCTCCTCATCTCTCTGAAAATTGTGTGTTGCCCTGAATTTCACTTATGCAAATGCTTTATGTTTAAGTATCCCCCTGATCCCCGCAGAGTATTTTTGGAGTGTTGCTATACTAACCACTCTAGAGTTAAACTCCTCAGAGAATAATGTACTGAAATGGAGAAGCCTGTGGGCACTGGTACACAGCTTATTTGATAATAAAACATCTTGCTTCTCTAAAAAATTCACTTGCCTTCAAAGTAACGATATCTGAAACTCTCCTCTTTTCTTCCCAATCATTTTTGGAGATAAATTAATATTAGAATATAAAAATTACTTGAGCAATTATGAAAAATATAGTTAAAATCCTAGCCAATATTTTATCAATATTCTCACAGACATAAGGTCTAAAGAAAATCAAGCTGACAAAAGACTTGTCCTTGATCAAGCTTCCCTTGACCTCAGCCATTGTTGTTCCATCACTAGGAACACAGGTACAGAAGAGGAACATGCAAAGAGACAAAGAGAAAGGGACAGATAATTCTTGTAAATATATTACAGAATTGCCCCTCATAGCTTATATGTCTTTAGACTAGTTACTTAAGCTCCTTGAGTCTTCATCTGGTTAACTGTAAAACTGGTATTATTATCCCAAAAGATATGTGCGTACAGGATCATACATAATATCTGGAGGAAAGAAAGTAATCAGTAAATTATGGTTATTTAAGAGAGATAACAAGAGAAAAATGTTGGCTGGCCAAAATATACATATCTGGGAGGGTTGGGAGAGATGACTGTGGAAGAACTACATGGTGGGAAGAAGGTTAGAAAGGAAAGTCACCTTGTTGATGGAACTGAGCAGAGTTAAGACATCACCTTTCTTCATGGTGACTTCTCGGTTGCTGCGGGCCTGGAAGTCATATAAAGCCATAACCCTCACTTCTCGAGCAGCTCCTTCCACTGGTGCAGCCTGTTGTTGCTGAATAAAAACAAGAAGCAGAACATGTCAGTCACCCATTGGAAATATATTCCTGTACAGCCTAACAGTGGTAGGCAGTCCCTGGGCCTAACAGGAGAGAGTTGCCTCTGGTTGGAAGCTCTTACATAGCTGCCAGTACAGAGAGATCACAATATGTTGTTTTCAGCGATACTGCTCAATCCAACACTTCTCAGGGGACAAACGAGCTGGGAAGTTTGAACAGAGAGTAAGCAAGTAAGCATGTAGTTTGTTGGAAATATATTAAGTACTCTAAGACACCAGTTCTTAAAGCTGGTAATAAAGGATTATACACATCAACATTTCAAAAAATTGTTTGAGAAAGTGAAAGACCCACTATCTCTCAACACCATCTCCATTCCCTGGGCTTCTACTGAAAATCCTTCCAACCCCAGGCCTTTACACTATTATTTCAAGGAACTGTGGGATTTCTTTTTTAGAGATGAGTGATCTACAACATAGGAAACACCACAGAATTTTAAAAATTGAGAACATAAACTGAGATCAAATATCTTGTATTTCTCTTTAGCAAGCAACCTGCTCTCCACGGTGTAGTCGTCTCTGATTTTTACTTCCTGCAAACATCTTATCTCCGAAAGAATGAACACAATATACAGCCCTTTCATAAGTAATGACCCACACCTTCTTCAGACTGGAGTTGAAGATTGAAGGTTTACCTCCCCTTGCAGATCTCTTTGATTTTATATCCTTCAAGTACTGTGTTTCCTCATAATGTACAATTCATAAGTCCACCCATTCTTGTTTAGATACCCTCTGTGCACGGCTTGATGAAGGCACAGAGTAGAAATTCTGTAAAAATATATATGACTTGACATGTGGGTCCATGTCTTTTGTCTACCCCCAGTGTATGAATTCAGAGCCTCTCATTAGAAAGAATTCCTTGAATGTAAGAAGTGTTTTTCTTTTTTCTTCCACTACACACAGGAGACACTTGTATCATTTAATTGATCCCAGCTTCGTCACTCTTCGGGACATTCCTTTTCACCTTGCGCCCTAGCCATTCTCATATTCTCAACTATTTGTATTTCCAGTTTCCAAAAACTGCTTGACTATTTTATGCTTCAGTGCTTTTGCTCTCACAGCTCATTGACTACAAAGGCCCTTCTCATCTTTGTCTGCATAGCAAACCACCTTTTTTTTTAAGTAACTCAGATAAACTGGTTTGTCTCAGCTATGAAAATGTTCCTATCTTCGAGCATTCTTATTCCAAGAGAACGGAACACTCCTTTGTTTGAGACCATTTTTCCTGTTCATGTAGCTATTATGTGCACTTATTTGTTAAAATTTCTGATCACCTAATATACCGTAATTTCCCTGCAAGTCAGGATTATTTTTATTCATACTTGCATGTGTCAGACTTTTAATAAGTGTTGGTATAAAAAAAACTAAAGAAGGAAGGAAAGAAATCAGGAAAAACATAAGAAGGAGAGATGTGAATAAAGGAAGGAAGAAAGAAAGAGGAATAGAAAGATAAAAGGAAGGAAAAAGGAAAGCAAAAAATACATTAACGAACACTTGATAGCACTTATTGAGAACTTGTCTACTAAATTCTGTACATGCTACAAAGATGCTACAATTCCTGCCTATAAGGATCATAAAACTTACCATTTTCTTTGCAATTGCTTCCTGGGTTATAGGAAATAAAAATCAGTAACAAAGAGAATTCCTTTTCTTCTGTGGTGAGGAATGTGATTCTTGTCAACCCTAAGTCCTTACCTGGAAGGCTTCTGCCTGATCCCGTAGAGCTTTCATACTGTTTCCAAATGCTTTGAGATCCACTAGAAAGGCCTCATGCTTCTTTAGAAGAGCCTGGATTTGTTGATGGGAAGATCATCAGAAGCAAATACAGGAAGAACACTAAACATTCCTGGGGAGTGCTTCAACTACTATTTCGGGTTATACCAATTGTCCTAATTCCTGGTAAGAGACACTTTCCATCTGTATGTAAAGTTCTTTCTTTTTTTTTTAACTCTAAATTTGCAAGTATCAAATAGGAGTCAAATGAACAAAAATTTCAATATTTTGCTTTAATCAAAACAAGGTCAAAATTGCACAAGCATTTTATCAACACACCCCAGCTCAAAGAGGAGACTGCTGATAATGTTACTTTGTAGGATTAAACATTAACATTATATTAGATGCCCATTTCAATTATTTCTAGTGCCAAAGATTTGTGAAATACTATACTAGCTTACCACTGGACAATGAACAGAACAAAGGAATGGATATAAAGGGTAATTCTGACCTTTGACGTTCTTCTTGCCCTAACATGTCTGCCTGATTTTATTTCAATAAAGTAATTAAGGTGCTTATATCCTAAAGCCATGGTTAGTTTGTGAAATCCCAAGGTTAGTTTGGGCAGTTTAGGATGGGACCAAGACAGGCACGGATCTCTAGTCATGCTTTTTCAGGTTTAGATAATCTCTAAGGAATCTATGGATTTCTGTGGGATTAGGAAAATGTAGTGTATCTTTTGGGACCTCCATCAACTCTGAGGTTATCCCTGCAGAGGAAGGCCAAAGGCTATCACACTGGAAACTCCAAATAATGTAACAGAAACTGTAGCTGTCCTACAATCTAATTTGGTATCATTCGGTGAGTATTAGACAAGGTTTATTCCCATGCCCACCTTACCTCAGCTGCTTCTTCATCAGCTCCATAGTTAGTGTTGTCTACAATAGGTTCCTTCTCTCTAATCCATGCTTCTGCTTCATGCAGGTCAGCCAGGTACTGCTGGAACTGGACAATGGCCTCAAGATCATTCTGCCGTCTAGCAGCTCGAGCCTGGAGAGACTCCATATTCTCATTCAAACTCTTAACCTTTGAGGCCACATCTTCTGCAGCAAAGTGTCCTATGGAGTGGTTGGAAAATAAGTGAGTGTTACCTTCATTAATGTCCACTACACTTCAATCCTTTTGATTGAAGAGAGAAAGGAAGCATGAGAATGATGCTGCACGTAGTCAATATGACATTTTTTTTACCTAAATTCCTGGGAATTGGAATGTTGTAAGCAAGATTAAGCACTAATAGGCACTAATGGAGGATAGGTGTGTACATGTGGTGGTGAATGGGGTGTTACAGCCTACAATATACAGACTTGAAAATGGAATACCTATGTGTAGGCACTAGTCAGAGATCCAAGAATATGTATTCTCTAGACTAAACAGAAATTCAGCAGATTTCCATTTCTGCCCCCAAGGGACTTATTACTACAGGAATTGTTATCCCCTCTAAACAGCTACAAAACAGAACAGACTATAGATGCAATGATTTTCAGACAATAGGCAGAGGACCATAACTGCCGAGAGAAGGGTAAAAATGAGATAGGCCCTATGATTGTCGCAGTTCATGCCTGAGGCAGGTCCTAGGCTGCAGTTCTGGAAAGACTAACCCAAGCAGAACTAGCAGCCACACTGGGTTGAGGAGGCAGAGAGCAGAGTTGGAAGAAGACAAGATAGTTGGAGCTTGTGGAACAGTCCTGAAGAGAAGGTACTGCACAGAAATGGAGCTTTGAAGATAATGCAGAAAGGCCCCCCTAGGGTATTTGACTGATTACTCCTTAGCACACATGTGTAAGAAAACTTCTCAAGGGTGAAGAAAGGATGACAGTAGGAAAGCAGTAGGCCAAAAAATTCCTAAGGGTCACATAGGGCTGTGAATAATTAAAATTAGCACCCACCAAGGTGGAAAGATGTTATAATGCAGGAGGTAGAGTCTTCAGAAGGGTTACACCTTAGTAGTGGACTAATCTCTAGATTAGTTCCAGAATAAAGGCTCCCCTAGAAGTACCATAAGAAAGCACATCCAAGAAGCTCAATGATTGCCCAAGCTGAAGAAACAAAGAAAACCACACCAAGTCATATGGTAATCAAAGTGCTGAAAACCAGTGATAAAAAGCTTGAAAGAGTCAGAGGAAAAAATATATACATTACATATGGAGGAGCAAAGATAGTTATGATAGTAGACTTCTCATCAGAAACGCTGCAAGTCAGAAGACAATGCAGTAGCATCTTTAAAGTACTGAAAGAAAGACACTGTCAACCAAGAATTTCAGATCGAGTGAAAATTTGTTCCAAAAATCAAGGCAAAGTGAAGTCTTAGACCAATAAAAGCCTAGAAAATTTATGGCTAGCAGACCTGCACTACAAGAAATATTAGAGGAAATATTTAGAAGGAAAGTTATAAAGGTAAAGATACGAATGGAGACAAAAGAATGAAGAACACAAATATGTGAGTAAATATTAAAGGATTTTTTCCTCATTTCTTAATCTCTTTCAAAGCTAATTTATTATTAAAGCCAAATTAATAACAATGCATGGTGGGCTTTAAAAGATATGTAAAATTAAAATGTGTGACATGAATGTACAAAGGATGAAAGGGGAGAAATAGAAACATGTTTAAGGCTCTTATTCTACACATGAAATGGTGAGATACTATATGAAGCTAGACTGTGGTAAGTTAAAGATCTATAGTTTAAAACCTAGAGCAGTGACTTAAATTTTTGCTCCTGGAATACCTTTATAATTTTTTCTAATTGCAGTAACATTGGATTATAACATTATATATCTTTCGGATGTACATCATAATATATTTCAAATTCTGTGTAGATTACATCATGTTCACCACCCAAAAACTAATTATAGTGCATCCCCACACATGTGAGCCTAATCACCCCTTTTGCCTCACCACCCCCCCCCCCCCCCACCGCCCCATGGAAACCACCAATCCATTCTCCGTTGCTATGGCCCTTTATAATTTTAAAAATTATTGAGGACCCCTAAAAGTTTTTGATTATATAGTGATATCTATTAATGGTTACCATATCAGAAATCAAAACAAAATTTTAAAACAAAATACACAAGTATATATTCCATTAACCATTGAAGCAATGGCATTATCACACATCATGTAGACTCCAGTAAAGTTCACTGTACACTTATGAATGAATGTGGGAAAGGCAAATAACATCTTAGCATCATTATGAAAACCACAAAACCACAAATAGAGAATCAGTATCCTACAATAAACATACCCACACACCCCACACAACTATAGCTAATAAACAACTATGGAGATAAAATGGAATCATAACAAATGCATAATTAATGCAAAGAAAGTAGAGACTGACAAAGAAAAAATAGCCGTGATGCTAGATTTAAACTTAACCATATTGATAATTGCTTTTTTTAAAAAATGGAGGTAACATTGGTTTATAACATTATATAAATTTCAGGTGTACATCATTATATTTCAATTTCTGTGTGGACTACATCACGTTAATCATCCAAAGACTAATTATCGTTCGTCACCATACATGTGTGCCCTTTTACTCCTTTCACCTTCCACCTTCCCCCTTCCCTTCTGGTAACCACCAATCTAATCTCTATATCTATATGTTTGTTTTAATTTTCCACATACAAGTTAAATCATAAGGTATTTGGCTTTCTCTGTCTGACTTATTCCACTTAGCATAATACCTTCAAGGTCCACCCATGTTACTGCAAATGGCATTAAATGTAAATGCTGTAAACACTCATTAAAAGGGAGAGATTATCAAATTGCATAAAAGAAAAGCAAAGCCTAAGGATATGCTATCTATAAGAAATCTGCTTTAAATACAAAAAAAACAGAGTATAAACAAAAGGATAGAGACAGCTGGAGTGGCTAAATTAAAGTTGCACTAAGTAGCCTTTAGGGTATCACCAGGGATAAAGAGGACTAGGTTATAATATTAAAGATTTAAATTCATCAAGAGGACATAACAAGTTTAAGTGTCTGTGCCAGCAATAACAGCTTCGAAATACATGAAACAAACTGATAGAACTGAAAGGAGAAATAAATAAAATCCACAGTTACATTTGGAGATTTCAAGGGGGGAAAAAAAAGACAGTCACTATAGTACTTAGGAACCCCAAATAAACATTTTTAGTTTTGAAATATTCTTGAAATCTGAATTGTTGCTCAGCAATCTGAATTTTAAACTATACTTTTTATAGCTGGACACTGGTTGGCAGCAATTTATTCCTGAATTAATAGAGGAAAAATCCCAATGCAATCTGCATTGCTTATACCATATCTGGCATATGATGTTAGATTCTGAAAACCATATTTAAGCAGTAAGGATTTTTGAAGATGGGAGACCAGAAGGAGGAGAGACATTAAGACTATACAAAGTAAGAAATTTAAGAAAATGTTGCTATTTACCATAAAGACAATAAGACATTGGAAACCTAAGACATGTCTTCACAGATCCGGAAGTTCCTATGTGGGAAAAGGACCTGACTTGTTTTACGGGACTTTGTAATTCAAATTCTGAATTCTATAACTTCTGTAGAAAACGTATTGATTATTAAAATAAAAATATTTTACTTAAATAATTTTGGCTTTACAGAATACTAGAAATGACTGGCTTATGAGGTAAGGAGGTTCCTACTACTAGAATATACAAAGAACATCGTATAATCTTCTGTCAGAAATGCCCAAGGGGAATTTCTGTACTGGATGGAAAGGTGGGGTCAGATATCTTTAAATTCCCTTGAAGCCCTAAAATTGAACAAACTTCTTCCATAAGTTTGGCATAGTGATGATTGGGAAACCCAATCTGAATCTTACATACCTTCCTCTACCATTTTGTTTCCTCTCTCCATTATCAACTGAATGCGTGGCTCATGGCTGGCAATGTCAGCCTGGATGACTTGGTGTCTGTTCAGAAGATTCTTGGAGGCAATCAAATCCTTGCCTACAGAGAAAAAAAATTTCAAGTTCTGGTATCGTTTTAGTGTTTGGAATAAGAAGAGACTATTCCCCTTCTTTATATCTCTTGGATCTTTGAGTTCTTCCCTTTGAGGTTCTAATGATTGAGTGGGCCACCTGAAATTTATACCATTTGTCTGAATTAATTCTGTTCAGCTTTGTTCTTCCTCTTGCCTCTTTGTACTAAGAAAATTTAATTCATTATTCTATAAAAGATAATGAATAAATCACTATTCTTTTTGGAAAATAGGTAGAAAGGTAAGTAACTTTTCAGCTCAAATTTCCAATATTGTGTAACCAATTTTCTTTCAGCATATTGTGGTGTAAAAAGCAGTATCTTCCACTTACTAGCTTCTATAGGTGTCAGAAAATTATTAAATTCTCTAAACTAGGTTTTTTCACCATGAAAATGGTACAATGTTATCTGTTCTGAAGATTTTTTTTTTGGTTATGATTACAAATAACTTTAAAAAAGTGCCTCACTCATTGCTTAACATTAACAATCACATAACAAAAACTACGGATTGTTAATTTCCTTCCCCATCGAAGATCCCCAGTTCCAGCTGTCTACTTCATCCTCCCTGTCTTCTATCCATGCTTTACCTCTCTTCTTTCCAAAATTTCCCTCCCTGGCTTCACACTATATGCCTCTCCAGAAATTCTTCATGCCAGTCTACCCTTCAAAGAGATCCTTTCCTTTCTAGGAAGTTTTTCCAGACTAGCATCTCCATTGTTATCATTGTTCAGCCCCTTATAGATGTTCCCAACATATGCATATTGTTTGAATTATATTTATGTGCACTTTTTTTGTATTTCATTGCAAGTGTCCTGGCGCTGACAATGGTGAACTGATAGCTTCCAAATGAAGGAAAATTTGCACTTTATCCACTGCTTCAACACTTTTATCCTTGTAATAGCTCATATAGCTATAAAAGAGTCATTGACAATATAGACAAAAACACTTGGTACCTCAAACACTAACCATGGCTGCTCAGCCAACGACCTTGGCAATAAAAAAGTTAGAAGAAGTAGCAAAAAGCTGAGCATTCTAGCTCTTCCCAGAGGTGTTAAATTCATGGTGCTGTTCATGTCTGGTTTTAGGAGGTAAACTTTTCAGTAT